CGCTCACAATGTGCAGGATTGAGACGAGGCAACGATTATGCGACAGGGGCAAGCGCGCATTACAACAGGTCGGACGGACGACGGGGCTTTACCTATGACTACGTTGCACCACTTCACAAGCGTGCAGAATGAGAATGAATTTTTCGCTATTGCACAGAAAGATACACCCGCTATCCGCATCGAACCTGCGAGCAGCCTAGTACGGTAGCTCGATTTTCAACCGATGTTGCACGACCAGTTTCTCCAAAGTGAGTACTTCTCTCTGTCTCTCTCTCTCTCTCTCTCTCTCTCTCTCTCTCTCTCTCTCTCTCTCTCTCTCTCTCTCTCTCTCTCTCTCTCTCTCGCTCGCTCTCTCTCATTCGTTGCAGTGCTCCTGATAAAAAAATAAATCTTTCGTCAAAACATGAACAATTAGATGCCCCAGGTAAGTGTCTCCCTCAATCCATGTTCATCCCTTTAGGCTTTGCAACAGGTCCGTGCCCTCGTGCATGGATGCACCTGGCCATCGACTCGGCCAGGTTCGTTCAACGTCATTGGCGAGAAGATCACAAGCTGGACGAGCATCAATAGCAACCAGGAAGGCCGCGATCGGGATGAGCAGCAACGTGGCCGTGACTTCGATCACCAGTATCAGGATAACGATTACCATGCTCGCCCTTGCTTCCGTGGAAGTTATGCCACGTAAGTACAGTGCTACCTTCGCTGCTCCCCTTTCTCACGCGTTCACATGTTTAAAGGGAAACGAATGATCAAAATCTTGTTTGCCGCAATCCCCATTATTCATATCGCGCAACCCCTTTATCCCATAGCTGCCAGATTACTAATCTCATGCAAAAAACAAGTCTATGATCTGATTCGTAGTATGCAGAAATCCCTGATTAGCATCTCCATTTGCCCAAATCGGTCGAGAATGACCAATTTCTTCAACATTCATTCTCTCCTCCTCTACTTTCTCGTCTTTCCCGCACACTATTTTTCTCTCCCAACTCCCATCGTACTAACTTAGCTCTCAAACTGTCCTCACCATTGAACTCATGATAGACAAGAATCATGATTTTGTCGTTTCCTTCAACCATTTTTGTTACAAACCCATCAATCTACATTTTCTGCTTCGCCACGCTTACCATCTCCTTCGCTTGCACCACACGTGTCCACCTTCTTCAACCTTGTAGCGTGTGGTTTCACAACCGCGCCGCACTCTGCTCAACAACTCTTGCTATTTGGGGAAGCATAGGAGAGGATCATCTGTTTAGACAGTTTCATTAATCTTTCGCTCCTATACCCAAACCCAACGGACGAATTGCAAAACTGTCGCGGCCTCCGCCACCGTTCCCCGAGTCTGTTTCGCTTAGGCATAGTTCACTATTTTTCAGGTCTCATCGAGCATGCTTACACTCAAACCTCTCACCAGCAGATTCAGACCAGTGGATAGCGCACCTCCAAAGTCAAGCCCATTGGTTCTATTACCAGGGCTTAAAACTAATACGCAGGGGTTATGTTAGCCCTCTTTGTATCGTTCCAATTTTTAACGGATGTCATGTAGGACCAAGAAAAACCACCAGCCTTGAAGATATCGTTCATCGGACTGACCGATGTCAGGTAATTCAAAATCATATAATTTTTGTCATTCAATTGTTTATGGATTCGAACTTCCCTCTGTACTTCAATAATTTGTGGATGTACCAATTGAGCTTGGCCCATCGGTACCAAAATCGGTTATAACAAACAAAGAAAAATAAGAAAACGAATAATTAAAAAATAAAGATAAGTAGTGAAAATAAAAAAATAAGAAGGGAAAACAGGATTTGGAAAGAGAAGGAGACCGCCGATAGCCCCTCGGCCCCGTCGGTCTGGCCCGCCACTATGGTCGTTCAGCAAAAACCGAGGGGGATAGCCCCGTTGGGCCCTCAACCCCTTAGTTTTCTTCAAGATGTTGGGCCGCTCCATCGCCACCAGATGTTGGTCTCGATCTCTGAGTGTATTGCATGGAAGTTTGATCCCTGAGTGTATTGCATAGAAGTCTGATACCCTACAAATCACTAACTAAAACGACAACAAACGGTCTGTTGCATGCGAGATGAGTATTTGAGAGCAATTCAAATATTACACCGGAAGGACAATACTCTATGGGTTACGCATTTAGTATATGTTCTCAGGGTTAAACATATTTAGTGTTTAATTACAATAAATGTGAGTCTTGCCCATTAATGTACAACGTGTCCAACTCAGGGTTGAGGCTATCCCCGAACAACAAGTGAGAAGGATTGCATATTGCTCGCAACCACCTTTTGAGGTGAAAGTGAGTATCTTACCTAGTGAATGTATCGGGGGTTGAAGGAAGTCGTGAAAACTTGAACGGAAGGCGTGGAGAATCGATTCCATGATTTACTGAATAAAGTTTTTATGGTTCACAAAGTGGATCCGTTCGCTGATCTAATATGGTAGTGAAGTTATTTGTTTGAACGAAGAGTTTTGTGTTGTCGTTGTGTTTTTGCAGGTCGTGTCTCCATGTTGTGTTTTAATTACATGGTAAGTTCGTGCGGGTTTTGACAGTTTGGCTGCCAGTTGGGTGAGTGTTTTGGGGTGACGGTAGTGAATATGAATTCACCATTTTGGTACTCGTCTTACATGTGTTTTAGAGTTGTTGGTGTTTGAGGGTTGGACGCGTTATGTTAGTACGAATTTGTTATTCCTTACGGTGTGTGGTTTGTTGATGTGTTGCCTTATTTATACATTGTTTTTGCTTGGCAAAAAATAAGGTATTGTTGCAAATTAGTATTACTTTGTTTTTATACCAGTTTGCAGGGAACTGTTTTCTGTAGTGTCAGTGGGGCTCGACGCTATATGATTTGTAGGCTAGGTTTGGTGTGGTAGCGTTCTGCTGGCAGTGTACTCGGTGTAAATGGCAACAACAGGGTTGTGCATGAGCATATATAAAGTTTGCTTTTGTGGTCACATTTGAACATTTTTTTAGTTTTTCCAACAAGTTTTGGTTTTGTATATAGTGCTTGGTTGTTAGTGTGTTATCTCGGCTATTGGTGGAATTGAGAATGTGTTATGGTGTTGTTCATCATGATAGGGAGTGTGAATGGAGACAAGGGTGGCCGTCGCACCAGGTTTGAATTGTTTGTGATCTTGGTATACAAATGATTTTTGTCATTTCTGGTCTCTATGATGGTTGACTTATGGTTTGAAGGCAGAAGACTTGTAACTGTTGATGCTATTGTGTGAGAGCTTCTTTGTGAGTAAGTGTTCATTGGAATGTTTGTGTGGTTGTGGAAGATAGTGTTTGGTTATTCGGAGTTCACACAATCTTTACCATGAGAATGCAATCGAGTGAGTGGTTGAGTTTTTTCAATGGGCTTTGAGAAGAGTTGAGATTGTGCAGGAAAGGTGAGTTGCTCGCATTGTGTGTGTTTGTCGAAGAGAGAGTAAGATGTATTGTGTTCATGTGATTGTGGCCTTTCAATCATACCATTGGTGTGGTTCAAGGATTCACAAATTAATTAGTATACGAAACCATCGATTGGTGGATTGACTTATTAATTTTATCGCTTTAACGCCTCCCCGATCATACCATGTACGACCACAACGTCAACGACCTTCACATTTAGTAACCCCACACGACCGCAGTGAGCGAATCATCACCGTGACCGTTCAATATTATAAATGATGGCTACACGAATGGTACCCGCCCAGATGGGAATCCCCACCTCGGTCTGGCAACTCACTTCACAACGTGTGAAGGATTCTAGCACACGATCATTCCTTTTTCGATGTCAATGCTACTCTATGGGTTCTCTAATAAAGAAGGAATTTGGTGTCGATGCAAACTGTACGCTTCATGGCGACTTGAGATTCGAACCCGCGATGTCCTCTCAATGGGTGGCCACGGCTGGTCATAACCCTTAACCCCCGACGATATTCATTTAGACGGGCCCAACATGGAAATGGGACTGGCCCAATAAAACCGTCGCAAGCCACACTCATCACCACAAATCCAAACGTAGACAGGAAAGGACAGTGCAAGCACGGCCACACTCCGACGAATCCGACAGCGAAATCCGCCACATCTTCTCACATTTCATCATCCAACCTATTTATAGGCCACACATCCCATCAAAAATCACACGGCCAACACCTGTGGACCCTTTTCCCGCGCGAGACCCCATAGCACCCTGGTAGCCAGCTACCACGATGATGCGCACGTGGGACCCACCCCTGGGGGCAAGGTCCCATTTACACGAATTAAGCGATATTGACCGTAGATAGCAAATATCAACGGCCAGAATCTGGTAATCCGTGCAAGTGGGACCTTGCCCCGGGGCTAGGTCCCACTTACACGAATAAAGCGATATTGACCGTAGATAGCAAAGATCAACGGCCAGATTCTAGTAATCCGTGCAAGTGGGACCTTGCCCCCGGGTCGAACCCACCACCTCTCTTCTGCAACGCCAGAGCTCTAACCAACTGAGGTCCCACGACTTGGCTCACACATAACATCACCCTAGAGACATGCGCGACGGCGAGTGACGGTGGGCGACGGCGTACGACGTCCGGCGTCCGGCGTCCGGCTTCCAAAAGTAACATACAAAACTAACATAGAAATTGTGGGCTGCGATCGGATCGTCTGCGCGGTAGACACTCTAGGGCCCCGAACGGCTATACCGAAAATTACCGAAAATTGGCGGGAAGGAACTGGCGGAAGGAAATTGCGGGAAGGAACTGGCGCAAGGAATTGCGCGGGAAAGAACTGGCGCAAGGAATTGCGCGGGAAGAAACTGGCGGAAGGAAATTGCGGGAAGCTTGCCAATCCGGAGAAACGAGAAAGGGGAAAGAAGGGCGGGAGAAAACAGAGGCGGAAACGATTTTTTTGGCGGGAATCTTGTCAATCGGGAGAAACGGAAAAACGGAAAGAACGGCGGGAAAATAGGGAAAGGAAGGGCGGAAGAAAATAAACAGAGGCGGAAAGGAAAAGGAATTGGCGCGAATCCTGCCAAGGCGGAAAGGAATTGGCGGGATCTCTTCCTCCCGTTTGTCGAATGCGATCGCCTACGCTTGCCACGTGGCGTTCTCTGGTGGCTTGTGTGATTAGCGATGGCGGTCTTGCTGGAGACGAGCGTGGGGGAGATGGTGGTCGATCTCTTCGTGGATGAGTGTCCAATGACATGCAAGAATTTCCTCAAGCTGTGCAAGTGAGCTATGGCGCCACCTCCCCTCTGCCTCTGCCACGTGTCCTCCATCATCTAAGCGCCTTCTCCCTTTTTTTTTAATTACTGTTTTCCTTTTCTTGTCCGTCCCTCCCTCTTGTTTCCCCCCCAAAATATACCTACCTTCTGCCTATCACCTCTCCTTTCTTTTTTCAATTTTTCAATTTCAAATTTAAATTTACTTAGTAGTATTTTTTAATTCACGGGACCAGTAAAAAAAATCACATCAAAAAAAATAAATAAAAATAAATCACATCCGCCCTGTAGTGAAGGATGGCGGTAGGTAGTCGAGCCTTTTATGCATGCGCTTACAAGGAGTGATTTTTCGACTGAGTTGTTGGAAAAGCTAAGCTGAGTAACGTGACCTCGGTTTGAATTAAAAATGAAAAAATAATAGTAAAAATCATGTCCGTCCTTAAATTTCCGGAGGAGCGGGCAATGGATCCCTTTTTTTTTTTTTTTTTTTTTGAAAGGCTAATGCTATTAAGCCTAACCAATTCAACGACCTGTCAAATCTGAATGGACAGGACGGTCTTTCATTCCCTTTGGCAGCTTACCCACCCACCCCCTCCAAAAAAAACAAAAAAAGAAAAAATAAATAAAAGTATGAAAAATAAAAAATATTGTCTGAGGGCTACGTCCACCATAGCCGTTCCTCCGGGTGTCGGCCGCCATCGCCGTACCTACTTATTCCTTCTTTTTTTTTTTTTTTTTTTTTTTTTGTTGAACGGTCCGATGGACCACAGATCAGATATTAAACTGATCAGAACAGATACTACACTTGATCTTACTTAGCCAAAAGGCCGAGAAAGGTATTCTATTCCTGGTTCTTATTCTAATGCTATTCGTTTTTTTTTTTCTTTTTTTTGTTTTTCCCAATAAAGGCCGTCTTCTCCTCATCGGGGGACAGCTATATTATATATGTATAATATATATTTTTTCTCTCACCTCATACAAATATTGTAATTGGATTTCTGCCATGTGATGGGACATCCCTTTTTTTCCTTTTCACTACCTAATCCTACGACTACTCCTAAGGGTATATAGGGGACCCCTGCAAGCATAGCTTTCTACCTCTCTTCGGTGAAGGGAGGTTACCTCTCTCGGTGGAGGGAGGTGATTGCATGTTTGCCCCTTCGCCATCTTTCTCAAAAAAAGAAAAAAGAAGACGAGGGTTCCTCCTCCTCCCCTTTTCCCTTCCTTTCTATCCTCCTCCTCCTCCCCTTTTCCCCTTCTTTCTATCATCCTCCTCCTCCCCTCCTCCCCTCCTTTCTACCATCCTCCTCCTCCCCTCCTCCCCTCCTTTCTACCATCCTCCTCCTCCCCTCCTCCCCTCCTCCCCTCCTTTCTACCATCCTCCTCCTCCCCTCCTCCCCTCCTTTCTACCATCCTCCTCCTCCCCTCCTCCCCTCCTCCCCTCCTCTCCTCCTCCTCCTCCTGTGACCCTTGATCGACTTCGTTTTTTTTTTTTTGTTTTTTTGAGAGAAAGATGGCGAAGGATAAGAACAGGGGGAGAAGGAGGAAGGGAAGGAGGAGGAGGAGACTTCGTAATTTTTTTTTATTTTTTTTTGAGAGAAAGATGACGAAGGATAAGAAAAGGGGGAGAAGGAGGAAGGGAAGAAGGAGGAAGAGGGGGAGGAGGAGGAGGGGGATGATGGTAGAAAGGAAGGAGAAAGGGGAGGAGGAGGAATAGGAGGAGGGGAGAAAGGGGGAGAGGAGGAGGATGGAGGAGAGAGGAGGAGCGGAGGAGGAGGAGGGAGAGGAGAAAAGGAGGAGCGGAGAGGACGACCAAGGGGAGAGGAGGAGCAAGAGGGGGAGAGGAGTACGAGGAGGAGGGGAGGGAAAGTGGATGGGAGAAGGAATGATGAAGGAGGAGGAGAGTGATGATGATAATGATGATGATGATGATGATGATGATGATGATTGGGAAGAACCCTTTACGATGCCCTGCCGGGTCAAAAATGAATATATATCGTCGAACAGAACTGCGGTGTAAACCGTCGGCAGAGAGGGAGGAGAGGACGATATATATTATGTTTGACGATATGTATATAATATTTATGTACTTTTTTTTTTTTTTTTCCCTATACTATTTTCATTTTTATTTTGCAAAGAATTTCGATCCAACCCTGAGGCAAAAGTGGTCCCGGGCCACTCTGGTAATATAGTTTAAGGGCAAATTCATTTTTATGAAGATTGAAAAATGAATCTGAATCTGCCCTATATGTAGAGAAGAGAGAGAGAGAGAGAGAGAGAGAGAGAGAGAGAGAGAGAGAGAGAGAGAGAGAGAGCAAGTGTCCCTTGCGATATTCATTTTCATTTTTTATTTATGAAATAGTAAATTCAATATGAATATTTCAATCATAGATTTTAGTATGAATGAATATAATAATAAAATCAGTAAATTTGATAAGAAAAATTATGAATTGTAAATCTCATATATCTCATATGGAAAAAAACAAACAAACTAGAAGTGAATATGATTAATAAATCCTACACGTATTCTTATGAATAACAAACCTTCAATTTTTTCATATTAAAAAATAACATAGTCAATTCCTAAATACAGCAAATCAATTTGTCCTATGGTAAACTACTGCCTGCCCATCCATGTTCGTGTTCGAAGCCCATCTAGGGCATGTAATAGAATAGAATAGAAAGAAAAAAAAATCAATCATCGCAGCAGGGTTCGAAGTCTTTTTTTTAATTTTTTATTTATTTTTATTTTTAGCAGGGTTCGAACTCACGATTTGTTTACTAACAATTCTTAGTTAGGAGGAAGGAAGAAAGAAGGGTTCGAAGCTCATCTGGGTGAGATGATGTAATATAGAAAATTCAATCATATGATTCGAACTCACGATCATGGTGAACTACAGCAGGAACGAGAAAGAGATTTTACTCCTGTAACAGCTAGTATTGTAGACCGACATGTTTTAGCAAGAGGATCTCAAGAAAAAGTAGTAGAAAATATAACTAGGAAAGATAAAGAGGAAAAACCTGATTTAATTCTATTAACTCCTACATGTACTTCTAGTATTTTACAAGAAGACTTCAGGGTTCGAACTCACGATCTGTTTGCTAACGATGCTGGTACAGAGGGCAGGTTCATTATCATTCAGCAGCCACGCAAAACCGCGACTTTTGGTCGCCCCCCCTTGGAGATTCCCGCAAAGCTCTGGACGTGATTGCGGTTGTATTCGTCCACACGTGGCCGTAATTGCCGTCAGATGCATTTTCGAAACTGGTAGTGTGAGTATGCCCTCACGCTAATTCAATCATCGCAGCAGCAGGGTTCGAACTCACGATCTGTTTGCTAACAATTCTTAGTTAGGAGGAAGGAAGAAGAAGGGTTCGAAGCCCATCTAGGTGATGATGTCATAGGAAATTCAATCATATGGTTCGAATTCACGATCATGGTGAACTACAGCAGCAGCAGGGTTCGAACTCACGATCTGTTTGCTAACGATTCTGGTACAGAGGGCAGGTTCATTATCATTCCGCAGCCGGGTTCGAACTCACGATCTGTTTACTTAGAATTCTGGTACGGCGTTGTTGTGTGGTAATAGGATTGTTAGTAAACAGAAGATCGGATCGTGAGTTCGAACCCGGCTGCGATGGAGCGAGATGGAGATGAAATAAGAATGGTAGGAGAAGAAATCTAGGGGAGGAGGAAAGGAGGAGGAGGGAGGGAGGAGGAGAGGAGGAGGAGAGGAGGAGGAGGGAGGGAGGAGGAAAGAGGAGGAGAGGAAATCTAGGGGAGAAGAAGAAGGAAGGAGGAAAGGAGGAGGAAGGAGGAAAGGAGGTGAGAAGGAGGAAAGGAGGGTGAGGAGGAGGAAGCAGGAGGAGAGGAGTAGGGGAGAGGAGACGAGGAGCAAGGACGAAGAAGGTGTAGAGGAGGACGAGGAGGGAGGGAGGAGGAGGAGGAGGAGTACAGAGGAGAAAGAATAGGAAGTGAAGAGAAGAACAAGCAGAAAGGAAGAAGAAGAAGAAGAAGAAGAAGAAGAAGAAGAAGAAGAAGAAGACGAAGACGAAACAAGGAGCCGGATGGACCCTACTCGTGGAGTAGTAGTAGTAGGAGGAACGAGGTGGAGAGGCAGACGAGGACTAGGAGGAGGAGGAGGAGGAGGAGGAGGAGGACGAGGAGGAGGAAAGAGAAGAACAAGAAGAAAGGAGGAAAAAGAAGAAGACGAGAGTAGGAGGCCGGGAACACAATGCACCTTAATTATGACACTATCCGATCCGAAAAATAGATTGCACCCCGACCTTGAATGGTGCACACATTCAAGTCTTAATGAGGGTGAGTTGTGCTGAAGGGTAGACGTTTGTGCGACGGCGGAGGACCCTATATTCACCATTACAGGAAGAAGAGTAAAATTTGTTATTTTATTATTATGTTAATGAAGATAGCTGCCTGCCTGTATTGCTTTTGTGTATGAAGGGGCAACGATATATTTACTCATCATTGTTTGGGAAAAGCAGAAACTATGTATTAAAAAAAAAAACAAAAAACAAACTATGTATTAAAAAAAAAAAGAAAAAAAAAAACAAAAGAAAAAAAAAACTATGTATTAAGTGCCTGGTAACGCTCCCAGGGTCCCTGAAACAATATTAGGGTCCCTTAAAAGCGGAAGGACGCAGGCACTCGGGCCTGATGTGGTACCGAGGGGCCGTTTGCACGGCCATGTAGGGCAAGGGGCAACTCGCATCCCCTGTCATTGTGAGAGGGCAAAAATCATAGGCTTAGGAAAAAGGGGGTACGTAGGTAGGTAGTGCAGGGGTCAAAGAAAAAAAAAAAAAAAAAAAAGGGTAGTGCAGTGGTCCCCACTGACTCCCCAGTAAGCATAGGCGTAGGAGAAGGGGTAGGTAGATAGTGAAAGGTGAATTGGAAATAATTTAAGAAGGAGAGACTTTGAGAGAAAGAAGAATATTGCGAGTTTCCAAAAAAAAAAAAAAAAAAAAAAAGAAGAATGGAGCACGCCACTGGAGGATGTCCACCGTTTCGTTTTTTTTTTTTTTTTTTTTTTAATTGTATGCTGCGTACTTTCTAATGAACGAGAGGATTTGGGGGGTCAAGGGGGGGAATGGGAGAGGGGCGAGGGGGTCTTGAATGAGAGCTTTTTTTCCCCCCCCCTTTTAGTGATGTCATAATGCATGTACCTGGTCTTGTTTCTATTTCTGCAACCCTTCCCCCCTTCCCTTTCCTGCCGCTAATGCTGACCACCCTTTCTTTTTTCTATCCCTCTTCTGTCTGCTGACTCTCAATCTCTCTGCCACTTTTGCCCCCTCCCCTCCCGGCCAGTGTGTGTCTGTTTTAGGTGGATAGAATGTGTCTTTTAAACCCTCTCTTCGTTGTTGTTTTTTTTTATATAATGTTTTTATAGGATCAAGTATTACCATAATTGCCTTTTCCACACAATCCAAAAGGACTTCTTGGTACAGACAGGAGACCCAACCAACACTGGAACCGGGGGCGACTCCATGTACAAGTGAGTTATCTCCTTATCTCACAGCACTCTGTGTGTGTGTGTGTGTGTGGGAGAGAGAGAGACAGAGAGAGAGAGAGAGAGAGATCTGCATTTGTTACATAAAAAAAAAAGGTACCGGGAGTAGTGTTCATTGTGCTTATGGGCCTGGGAACTTTTTTTTTTTTTTTTTTTTTTTTAAATCAACGGCCTTGAAATTTCATAACTGGTCTCTCCAGAGAAGGGGCCTTTCTTTGCTGCCTCATCATTCACAGACTGTTGATGAAAAATCCAAAATTGGTAAATAATAACTAACTACTATTTGCTAGTAATTCGTGACAGGCCCAGTTGGGTAATTATTAATGACTAATTACCCAACTGGAATTACCCAACTGGAATTACCCAACTGGAATTACCCAACTGGAATTATTCAACTGGACAAATGAAATTTCCCAACTTAGTAATTAGTAATTACTAATGACTAATGATTGAAATTTCATCTGTCCAAAACGGTTCGCAGCTATTCAAAATTACTAATTACTAATTACTGATGACTAGTTACTAATTACTGATGACTAATTAGCAACTACTCCTTTGACCAGGTACCAGGTAATTTTGAATAGGTGCGAAACCGATTTGGACAAACTGGTAAAAGGAGTAATTAGTCATCAGTAATTAGTAATTAGTAATTTTGAATAGCTGCGAAACCGATGTGGACAAATGAAATTTGAATTGGTCAGCCATCAAACCAAACTGGTCATCTCGACTTTCCTATTTAGCCCATTATCCGGACATTAATAATCAAAAACCCAAAAAAGATTAACATTTTGCCTGGGAGGTATGCTCAAATTCGTAGTCAAACTCGAGTTAAAAATAGAAAACCTAGCAAAGATTAAGATCTTTTCTTTTTTCTTTTCAAAATCATTATAAAAGAAAATGTGCGGCCGAACACGTTCGGGAAACGTTCGGCCGAACAGCCGAACATGTTCGGGAGACGTTCAGAAAAGCTCCGAACGAACATGTTTGGGCGTCCTCGATGTCAGAGACCCCATGAATACGAAGTCTCAGCCCTTGCTGGTATGGCTCAGAGTCACATCATTGCATAACCGCACTATCTTCTTCTTCTCGATTGATTTCGATCTCGTTGTCGGAGACTCCAGGTTGAATTGTGAGGTCCCCGGCCTCAATTTTACCCGCTGTAATAAAAGTTTTGCATTGGGGAAAAAAAAAAAAAAAAAAAAAAAAAGATTGAAGTGCCGATGCTCGGGTAACATAAACAGTAAGTGGTTGAGTGCGGCATTCGCCACGCTTCGACATGTCCTGATGGTAGGTTGAGATAGGTGTGCCGCATATGTGCTTCCAAAGCACAAAAAGACCTGAGACGCTTTAGGCCGATGATAAGCCTAAAGCGTCTCAGGTCTTTTTTTGTGCTTTGGAAGCACATATGCCTCACCTATCTTACCTTTGTTGTTTCACGCCGTTAACCATCAGTGACCCGCGGGACACCTCGTCTTCTCAGATCTCCTCTCGTATCCGCCTTTTTTTAATCGCCCCTTCCTTCCTCCCTCCTTTCCACTATGTACCCTCGGTTACCAGTGAACATCTCCATCATGGCCTCGTAGTAGAGTTTTGGGCACAACAGGACCGTCCCCCCCCCTGGATTTCTGTCCAGCGGCGTCGGTACCAAACCCTCCAAGCTATCTGTTATCTTCATAACTTGTTGCACTTCAAGATATTTCTCCCCCACATTTCTGCACGCCGTCATGCACCTAGTCGCCTCTTCATCTGTTACCTACACACTTGAGTTCGTGTAGTTTGCCCTTCATCTGTTGGAAAGGGTTCTCGATTTCCCGTCTAAGTAACTGTCGTCCGTCCTTCAACTCTCCTCCGGATTAGGAATGATGTTCCACTTACAGATTAGAGGGAGGATGGCCTCCAACTCCTGCGGTCTGAACTGCGCCCTTGGATAGGTGCTGATGGTCGAAAGGAAGGAGAAAGGGGAGGAGGAGGAAGAGGAGGAGGATGGGAGAGAGGGGAACATGAGGAGGAGGAAGAGGAGGAGGAGGAGGAGGAGGAGGAGGAGGGGAGAGGACGACCAAGGGGAGGGAAGATGTGGCATTCACAGTTCCAAACGGGCCCCTGCAGAGCCCGACTGTTAGGATCAGAGGCCTTAGGGGGATTAGCAGGGTTCGTCTGGGGGCAGTGTCGTTTGGAGGCCCAGTTTAGGCCAGGCTTAGCAGATAGGCCCTGGCGCGTCGTTTCGTTTAGCGCCAGGACCCTGGTCAGTGTCAGCGCCGTTTAGTTTAGGCGCCAGGCCATTCAGGCCCAGTTTCATTGAGTGCCAGCATCGTTTAGGTGCCAGCTTTTCATTTGGGCGCCAGCTCTGATTGTGGGCGCCAGTTTTCCCCTCGTACACTGGCGCAGTTTTGGACTGGTAGAGGCAGCCTCTCAGTCGACCAGGGCTACTTAGAGCTGGTCCGCCTAGTCGTAGGCAGGTAGTATTGACAGGCAGAGTTAGTCGATGCGGCGCTGTTAGTGTGTTAGTCCACAGCGCTGGGTGCACGGTTAGTGAGGAGACTAGGAGCTTGGGCACTGCAGCCGAGCTGCAGTGGGAGTTTGAGTGGCGAGAGAGAGAGAGAGAGAGAGAGAGAGAGAGAGAGAGAGAGAGAGAGAGAGAGAGAGAGAGAGAGAGTTGACGTTGAGACTTGGTGACTTTCGGGTTATGCCCGGTTCAGTGACACTGCGACTTGGCGTTGCATGAGCAGTGATGTTGGGGATGCATTGGAGACTGTGTTCATCGGGCTATGATGGCTGATTCTCCCTATCTCCTCCTCCCTTCGTCTCTTCTCCGCCCATCTCGTCTGTGTATGTATTCAGACTCAGTGCACCTCCTATGTTTATAGCTCTGAGTCCACTCACACCGTGTGATGATGGTTGTTGTCAGTCCTGTCATTGTCCATACTGAGTCAGATCCTGGTATTTTCAGTCTTCCACTGCGCTATTTTTGTATTATCTCTGAGAGGTTGGTTCTTGGTTCTGATCTATATGCCATTAGGCATGCGACAGAAGGAGGAGGAGGAGGAGGAGGAGGAGGAGGAAAGGAGTAGGAGGAGGAGGGGAGGGAAAGCGGATGGGAGAAGGGAGGGAGGGAGAGGACGGCAGATGCCCGCACAACCGCAGGCTAACAGATCAGCCTTTGCAAATTTGCACTGATTGTGTAAATCGCCTGCAACTGAGGGCGGAAAGTTTTTAACCCACACGCAATCTGGACAGTCCGCCGCGCACTTCGTTCTTCAGACAGGTAGGTATATCCAACTCCTCTATCTTATCGTTCACAACTCTCTCTCTCTCTCTCTCTCTCTCTCTCTCTCACGCACACACACACACACACACACACACACACACGCGCACACGCACAANCACACACACACACACACACACACACACACACACACACACACACACACACACACACACACACACGCACACACACACACCTTCACCCTATCGTCAAACTCCAATCGTACCGTAATCTGCCAACCATAGACATCCTTCACGGCCCTCGATATCAGCCCCTTCAAGTAAGCCGTTGCTTAACTCTTATGGAAATCCTTGGCAGCTCCGTACATACATCCTCACCAGAACATCCAATCCAAACTACATTCCTGCAGCAGTTGAGTTCGTCTCTTATTCCGCAGTGCCGAGATCAGGTAAAGCTTGTCTGGTCCTCCTATCTTTGGTTTCCGCTTTCTCAGACAGACGACTGACCTCAAACACTCCACCCTTCTCAAAGAGGCTCTTAGCAGCACTTTTTACGACCGTCTATGGACTCTCAACTACACGCAGATGGTCGCACCTGTTCTTATCGATTCTTAGCTCGCGTTGCCAAATGCTTTCTTCACAAGTTTTCAAAAACTTTCGTACGAACACCTCCCTCCTTTGATGTGCAGCTGAAAACAGGGTTGGCGGGCCCCCCTTGGAGTTGTAAAGAAGAAGATAAAAAAATGAATTCATTTTTTCTTGGTTTTGCTTTGCTTTTGCGCTCTGATATCTTGTGACAATATATACCCCGACGTTGCTAGCTCCCTGCTTTTGTAGATGATGCGGCGAGCGTCGGGCCTGTACTTAGCAGGCTCTTCTTTGGTTATGGTAGAAATTATTTTTCTCATTCTCTTGTCCCATTTCTCGTTCTGGCATTTCTTTTTTGCTTTACTCTTCCCCGTTGATGGGGTATTTCGTGTTTTGTGGACCTAATGTATGGTTCCGTTTTTTTTTTTTTTTTTTTAACTATGGATATCATAATGGTAGAATTTCTTTTGGTAATCTTGTCTGCTGCATCCCGGTTGGTTTTGTCCCGTTATTCGGTCTATTTCGGCGAGCGTAGCAGTGCTTCACGTGGGACCGGTCATGCGGGTTCTTTCTTTTCGATGTGGCATCCGGGTTGGTTGTTTCCCGTTGTTCGGCCTGCATGGGGGCGGTGCTTTTATGTGTCGTCATCCGGGATTCTCTTATTTATTTTATTTTTTTTTGTCCCGGTAAGAACGGTTTACAAATGGGAATACCCACGTCTTGATGACGAATAAGGCCATCTGCTGTATATACATATGTAATCTGGGATTTCTCGTTTTTTGCAGACAAGAGTTTTGTCCTGGGTGGTCTTGTCCTGTCGTTTGGCCTGTGAAGGAGGGGCGGTGCTTGCGTGTGGGACTTGTCATCTAGGATCCGTTTTCGGTACAATTGCTTGTTTACCCCTGTTTTGTTTTGTTGTATTGGGCTGTGCCCTTCCTCTTTTCTTTGCCTCTTTGCCCTTTGGCTTTGTGCAAGTGGGTCGATATGACACACGGCGGTGGGGGCAGCCGCCGCTCAACCTACATCCACGCGGGCGGGGCCTTGTACGCAAAACAGGTTCTGAACAGGGGGAGTCTTGTAAAGAAGAAGATGAAAAAAATGAATTCATTTTTTCTTGGTTTTCTTCGCTTTTGTGCTCTGATATCTTGTGACAATATATGTGGGTGGGCTGTGTGTGCACGTGGTTGGCGGTCAGTGCACGATGGAGCTACCTACCGTCTTCACCGGAATAAAACTCCCGGTCATTATTGCTGCATCTTGTCTGAAAATTGGCCCAAATATAGCTACAATGACCGGGCGCTTAATTCGGGTGAAGACGGTAGTGTGCAACACGTGTGTGGGTGGTGTTTAATGAAATGTCATTTTCTTTGCTTATGTTAGGTTACATTTATTTATTTATTTATTCATTTATTTATTCCTGTATTTGTTTATCTTCCTTTTGTTTGGTTTCCCGTTCAGGTTCCTGTATGGTGACCAAGCCCGTTTTTTTGACGATGAAATTCGGCCGAAGCTGAAGCACAACAAAGTTGGGACTGTCGCAATGGCAAGCGCGGGAGAAAATTTGAATGCATCTCAGGTGCGGGATAATAAAAAAAATGAACAATAAAAATAAACATAAAAATAAAAATAAAAGTAAAACTCCATAAAACTTAATAGTGAAAGATTAGAAAGTTACAAAACGTTGGTATCTTGTCCAAAAGAAGTCCTACTACATGCTCGCTTTGTATGTTCCAGTATTTCCTCCTCCTCCTCCTCCTCTCTCTCTCTCTCTCTTTCTCTCTCTCTCTCTCTCTCTTCCCTTTCTCCCTCTCCTGTCCTCTTTCTTCCCTATGCCCTACTGTCCTGCATGGGTCGTGGGGACCATCTCACGCAAGTGTGTACATGCCATGCATCGTACTCCCACACACAATGAACAGTAGTCTGACAATAGACAAAGATAGAGAAGATGA